GCATTAGCAAAAAGGATGAAACATCAAATCAAAAGTTTGAAAGCATCAGGACCATCTGTGAAATTTTTTGAACTTATGGACTACACTTCAGATCTAGAAAAAATAAATAGTGACCAAAAATGATGTTTCTTCTTTCGAATTATTGTTCATATTCTTTACTACTTTTGATTTCATATTCTTTATTACTTTTGATTTTTTTTTTCAATCGAAGTTTAATCTTCCAATTCTGAAATTATTTTTTGGTTTCTTCCCAAATTTTTTTTTTGAGAAAAAGATCCTCATTTATGTCTAAAATATTCATTTCTAAATGTAAAATATCATTTTTTTTTAATAAATGTATGATTTTATTCACTAATTTCATATATAGTAAATATTGGTGTGTAACATACACGTTCTAAAATTGTGTATTGTTATTATTAAAAGTGAATAAAATTGAGTGTTGAGTTCTAACAACTAGTTTTTACTAGAAATGAAGTAAAACTATGTTTAGAATCACTCATAAAATATTGGAAGTCTTATTAGATTCCAATTAATAGCAAAAAAGTGAAATTTAGCGAAAATATAAAATTTGAATAAGTAAAATTTTATTATTGAAAGTTGTAAATAATCTCGTTAGAAACTTGGAGGCGAAAACCTCGTCGAAATCCGAGTTATAACGAAGAAGTTATGACCAACCGAAGATCCGCGACAAAACCGGCACGGCGCGGAATGACGTAAAAAATGAGTTTTTGATAAACTACTTTTTAGCCTTAGTAATCTAAATGAAAGTCGTACTATTCGTTAAACCGAGAAATTCGATAAAGATAACGCCAAAATCTGACTTCGTATGAAGAAGTTATGATTTTCCGAAGTTTCAACTTAGCAGTACACAGCTAAAAACTCGAATTTTAGATCGAACGATATTTGACCGATACATCCTAAACGAGAATCGAAGGTCTCGTCATTTGTAGTACAACGGTAAAAAGTCTGACGAAAACGGATGTGGGATGAAGAAGTTATGAATTTTTAACGGATTTTCCTGTCCCGGTCTGTTACAAAATAATAATATTAAAAATAAAGTCAAAATTAGCCGACGAAGTCTAAACGAAAGTTGTAGAGCGTAATTTTAGCTACGCGTTTATATAAAGAACGTCAAAAACGGAGCTCGTATGCGGATGTTATGGATTTTAGAAGTTCGGGGCTCGAAAACCGAGAAATCTCGCATTAATAGTACCGGCCACGTCACCTCGCACGAAGCAGGTGCGTCACCGGAGTCGTGGCACGTCTGAAGAGCGACGAGTGTCGCACGCGTGTCCGAGCTTCGCTTCGCCACCGCCGCCCCCTCTCGCATGCGAGCCACGTGCTCCGTTTCGCAGACGCCACGTCCGAGCCTCGCAGCGGCCTCGTGGCCTTTGCTCCTCCTGTCAGATGTTCGAAGCTCGCATGAGCCACGTCTTCTCCATCCTGACCGAACCTCGCAGCTGCGACATGGACGCTTCTCAACCCTCGGATCCGAAGCCTCGGCCCTATATAAAGGGAGGCTGCGAGACTTGCCAACTAATTTTGGAATTTTGCCATTTTGCCATTTTCACCCCTAAATCCATATTTTCACTATTTGACTTTCCCCGAAGCCCCGGTATCAATTTTAGCACCCGAAACACGCCTCAAGACCCTCGAGAAGCCCGATTTTCAATTAAACTCCCGGTTTTCAACATAGAAAGTCGTATTTAATGCCGAAATGTTGTTCAAATTACTATTTTAACCCCCGGTTAATTTAAGGTGAGTTCAATATCTATGACCAATTGTATGTTATGTGTTATATGTGCTATGTGTTTCTCAGTGTTATTATTCTGAGTTATTTTCCCGTGTTATTTTATTTGTTATGTTTATAACAAATATAATACCTTTGACCATGTGATTAGTGAAAGGACTTAGATTCACATTGGTACTGGTACGTAGCCTCTGGCCATGTAGAGCATGTCTCCGTAAGAGAATGACTTATATTCTATGACAATGGCAGAAGGTTAAATAGGAATGATATGTAGCCTTTGACCATGTAGAACATGACTCCGTAAGAGAATGAACTCTATTCTATGGTATTGGCAAATGGTTAGACATGGCTATAAGCCTGAAATCTACCAAAATGTTAATCATAAATTATATATCTTCTGTGCCATTTGGGCCAAAACTTTATTGATGCATATCAAGTATTGAAATCGTTATGTCTCATTGATCGTAAATCTTTGAATCAAATCTTGAGTTGATATTGAAAGCCTGACATATGATACGCATATGCTATTGTTGTTCTTGTTCTCTTTTGCTTCTGTCATATTGGTATATATAAGACATAAGATTATATTGTATCTATTTATTGTATTCACTAAGCGTTATCGCTTATCCATCTCAATATTTAACAATTGCAGGTGATGAGTATCCAATATAATTTTTTACTACTGAAGGATTTAGAATAGTTAATAGTATTTCTCTGTATTTTAATGTTCACGTATGTATATGAATAATAGATTACTGGGTAGACATGAAATGTAATAGAACTTAATCGGTTTGTATCCAATGTTTTGTAATCACTTTATCAATATAAAATATTGTTTTATAAATATGCATGTAGCATGTTTTGAGGAAGTAAATTAAGAATTTTTTTTTTATGAAATAGTATGAAAGTTTGGGTCTTTCATAAATACGAAAGTTTGGGTCTTTCATGATGTGTAATTGCCGCTTAAGATTTAATTTCATATATAGTTCATATTTAATATATTTATTTAACTTTTTGTTAAATTTAAATTAAAAAAAATCTCGAAATTCTAGAATTGTTCTTTTGATTTCGGAGTTGTTCTTGAATTTCTGGATTTTTTTTTCCCGAAATCCTAAATTTTAGTCTGGAATCCAGAATGTCATTCTGGAATTAGTAAAAAAAAATGTTTTTTTTGGTCTGGAATACTCATTTCAACCGGTTATTTTTGATAAAAAAAAAATAGTTATTTTGTTCAAATAAACATTAAAAAGTAGTTAGATTACTCAATTTTATGTTTTGTTGGTATTCAAAAGACAAAAAAACATTATATTTCATATGATAGTTCCACACACCAGTGCTGGTTGGGCTTGCTTGCTATATCATTATGCATCTATCTAGGTATCTCTTTTTTCAGATAAACACGTCAATGGTACATGGTGACAAATTAAAATTGTGGAAAGTGGTTACAAAGTATTTGTGAACAATAAATCTTTGTTAGTGTGTCTTTTTTTACAACACATGCATTTAAGAGTGAACATACGCAAAGAAACACTAGATAGAGTAATATTTACTAGGAACCAATAGAACCAATAACTAAAATTCGAATTTTATGGGCTCAAATAGCAAGTATGAGTTTATAAAGAATGTTTTCATTTTTATTTTCATTTGTTATCACTTGAAACTCATGTATAACAGTATAATAGCAGACTTTTGCATATGTTTTGTAGCATATGAAAACTAATAGAACTTGGCTATGATGATTATGTCTGAGGTATAGACGTATCTGTAATAATGAAAAAGGAAGTAAAGATTATATGGATATCATGTGGCTATAAAAAATGATATGCGATCAAAAGCAAGAAATTTATTATAGAGCTAATGATATTATAAGGTAACTAACTTTTTACTTTGGTTTAAAAAGTCCCTTCAATAAATTTTATGGCTTCTATGTCGTTAAAATTTCATTTTACCAGTTAAAAAAGGAAACACCCCACTTGATTCTGGTTTCAAGTTAAAAATGTTGATCTGACATTAAAATAAATGTGGTTTATTTTACATTGTATGTTGCTTTTTTTATTTATTAACTTTTTTTGGAATCCCTAAACACTACACAGTTAGCCAACTCCATTGTCATCGTCTTTGTTGCCTTGATCCCACTATTCCTTACTTGCACTCACCTGTGGATTTTAAGCTCAATTTCAAGTTCTCTTGTAATCCCAATATGGTACTTCAAATATCTGCTTCAAGAGATTTTATGGCCTAAATCTCATACACCCATTATTCTTGATGATGTTCCTCAAACTCTTTTCACATTTTTTGTGAGATTTTTGAGAGAGGGTAGAATTTTCAATGGTGACATCAAAGCTACAATTTCTCTAGAACCAAAACCATCTTAATGGCCCCAAAACTAATGAATTATTTCTTCGGATCACTATTATGATGTTTTTTCAACTTTTAATCAATATTATCACTTGAATTATATTTACATGATTGTTTTGTTTGTGGAATTTTATGGGGTTTTAGGTTTAGTTGATCGTTTGATATGATTGTTGTTGTTCGACAACAAAAATATGGAGTTATCATGCATATCTTTTCTTCTCCTAGGATTTTTATGTGCTGCTTTGGAGGTGGATGTTGAAATGGTCAAAAATCTTCAAGTGTCTTCCCTTTTCTTGCTCGACTTTTGCTAGGAATGCTTGATGAGGGTAATTTAGGTAAAAATCAGAAAAGGTTGATTTTGTCTCTTACTTATTCATTGTTGTGGTTTATCTATATGGCGTGAAATGACATTCTCTTCAGGAACAAAAGGCAAGTTATCTTTTTAATGCATTTACATTTGGACTTGTATTACTTGCATCTATTTATTACCAATGGATGTTAAAAAACTTTGGAAGTATTTTTCTTCAAAGGAGGTCAAGCAACAAAAATGATCGGAATGGACGAGTCCTTAATGGACTATAATGAATCCAAAATGATACTAAACACAACAACAAACACAAAATTCGCTTTCAATTTCTTCACATTTGATCAACATATCAACACATATCCAACAAGTGCAAAGCCGATCCATAACAATTTATGCTCGCCATATTATACCGTTATACAATTAGTCTTATAATAAATTTATTTAAGTTGACAAATTCCTTTACTATAAAAAAAATCTAAAATACCATTTTGATGTATTTTTACAGAATTTTAGAACTTTAAAGCATTACAAAGATACCTACATTGTAATGAGAAGCAGAAATTTAACTATAGTACGATATTTTGAGTGCAAAAAAAAAAAAAAAAAACATTTCCTCACATGTTATCAAACTATCTTAACTATTATCAACTTCATAACCATTTTTACAACTTTTACTATAAATTTGTATTTTTCAACTTTATTTATATCATACAAAGTAAACCCCTAAAAACTGACTGTTAAAATGCATGTATAAATATAGATGATATAGTGTTGCATGCACTTTAATCTTTCAAGATGTATGCAAAATAAAATTTTATTGAAAAGGCGTAATTTAAAACATAATGAATTACAAAATTAAAGCATTTGAGAAATCATGTGAAGAGAATTAGGCTCAGATCTGTAAGTTGAAGTCAAACAAAGGGGTCGAACACCGCCATGGCTGCAACACCGGTTGCACGTAAGCATTTCTTTCCTTAATTAAACATGCCATCCGGGTTGCCCCGCCAAGATACGGGCCGAGTTTCACCCTGTGCCCGATTAATGATGCCCGGATAACTATCCATACAGAAATCAAATATCATCGCCATCTCAAAATACCATCGCAGTTACAGATATAAACACACAAAATATGGGAAGTAATTTGTACACCACATTTTTTATCCAATGTCATTGCCTACAATTCTCCTCGTTTCAAAAAATGTAGAGCTATGATTATGAAAAAAAAAAAAGAACCTTTTCTATATATATTTATTATTATTGTTTTATTGTTATGAAGGGCTGTTGGTTTTTTGGAGAAAAAGGGGACAAACTCACCGGCTCAACATGATCGGATCAGATCCGATTATGAGGTGGCAAGAGAGGGGCAACCACCCTTTGAAAACCTCCCGTCTCTCTCGCCGGAGCCTCCTTTGTTTTTCCGAGCATCTTCTTCAGATCCCCAATTTTGGTGTGCCTTTGTTCGATAGCGGGGATTTATAGTCATAGGCTCATAGCAATTTCCAGTTATGTCCTTCGGCTTCTTAGAAAATAACGGGATATGGGCTTGGCCTCCGTAAGAGGGTATACTTGTAATTTTCTAATAAACATGGACGACTCATCCCTTCTTTACTAGTTTCGTAATTTGGCCACAATTTTATGTATTAACATTTGAGCCACAGAAAGAAGTGATGATGATTTATTTATAAGGGTATATATATATTTAGCTGCCTAAGGTTTTGTTGTATGTGATTTCTTATTGGACACATGTTTTTAGGAAGGATACTATTAAAGTTTTGAAAACAAGAATGCAAAACAAATAATCAAAATAACTTTTTGATTAATTGGAAAATCACTCAAAACCAATATTTTTACAATCTGTTTTCATAATCATAAACTCGATTATGGACACGTATATATAGCCTAACATACCAACTTGTATTAGACTAGGAAACTTATGATCAACTTACCATAAACTAATCTTTCCATAAATTAGATTGCTTGGACCCCAAGACTTAGAATTCCAACAATCACCCCCGAATCTCTAAGTCCTTATAGAGAATTCTTCAACCCGATCCGTATTTAAAAAATGGATTCGTCACTTTCGTCACGTTCCGAAAAATCACCGTCTTGTAATTTTTGGAGTCGTTCCGGACATTCAGAAGCAAAGTGACCCAGTTTGTCACACCGAAAACAAATCACCTTAGATCGATCTTTTTCCCTATTTTTCCGATTCTTGCCACAACAACAATTACAATTTTTGCAATCAGAATTAGAATTGGACAGTTTATTGGGCCGATTGCTTTGAGAAACCCTATTATTCCCTTTGGGCCCGCCTGACCCATGTGACGCTCCAGACCCGGATCCACTCGACCCATTAGTCCCATTAAGCTCATTTGCTTTATTAGACATATTCGATCCTTTCTAGTTTCCCTTCGTTCCCAATGAGTTACCCCCACCAGTCGACGACCCACCTCCATCTCCAGTCGATTTTTCGGCAAATAGAACCCTCGATTGTCCTTCTCCAGCATCGACTTCCCTTATTCTTTCTTCATATGCCTTCAATCGACCCACTATGTCTTCAAACCCTACCGATTTTAAATCTAGTACCTGTTCAAGAGATGCAACGATATGAATGAAGTTTCTGGGTAATGATTTGAGGAATTTCTTCACCAATTTTGATTCCTCAATCGTTTCTCCTAATGCCAACGATGTAGACGCGATTCCGGACAGCTTTCCGGCAAAGCTATCGATTGTTTCTGACTCGAGCATCTTCAGGCGATCGAATTCCGACATCAAGGTTTGTAATCTCGCTTCTTTGACTCTATCTGCGCCCACATTACGTGCTCTAATCGCATCCCATAATTTCTTGGCCGAATCCTGATCTCCAATCTGCATTATGAGGTTTTCCGGTAGGGCTTGATATAGCAAACCCATGGCAAGGCAGTCCTTTTCTTCATTGACATCGGTTCCTGGATCAATCACAGTCCAGGCTTTGTGGATGCGTAAGACAGCCTTCATACGCATTGCCCACACAGTGTAGTTAGTGGATGTGAGCACCGGACACGAAACTGAGGTTGTCCCAACCTCCTTCACTCTCACCAGAGCTTCTCCTTCTCCCCATGTATCTGTCATGTTGACCTGACTCGTCAACAGGTACAAATCGATCTCACAACTTCTCAACCTAAGCTCTTATACCAATTAAAGTTTTGAAAACAAGAATGCAAAACAAATAACCAAAATAAATCTTTGATTAATTGGAAAATCACTCAAAACCAATGTTTTTACAATTTGTTCTCATAATCATAAACTCGATTATGGACACGTATATATAGCCTAACATACCAACTTGTATTAGACTAGTAAACTTATGACCAACTTGCCATAAACTAATCTTTCCATAAATTAGATTGTTTGGACCCCAAAACTTAGGATTCCAACAACTATTGTAATTGTATTTAATTGCCAACTAAAGAAAAAAAATGTTATAAAAAGATATATAATTATATTCCAATTTTAAACTTTTAGTTTATATTTGAAATTTCATTCGAATTTGACAAATATTAAAGTTTGTTATGAATACTGTGCAAATTTTTTATTTTACCGGTTCGTCCCAATTTTACCCTTTTAATCATGTTTAAAAAATTACTTACCCATATTTGTAACAATTTTTTATAAAGCTTCACGATGTTTTTATAGTTTTATGCTATGTTATTCTTAATAAAAGTAATGAGTTATATACATAAAAACGACTATACTTGTAACGACCCGTTTCCGGTATGTTAATTCCTTGATATTTGTTTTGAAGTTTTGCAAGAGGGACTCGGCGAGTTCATAGCCTGACTCGCCGAGTAGGGTCGGGATTTCAAGCACGTGTTAGCTGGAGACTCGGCGAGTCCATATTCCGGACTCGGCGAGTGTGTCCGTCTGGGAAAAACCCTAAATCCCCGGGTTGCCCACTATTTAAGCCACCTTATGGCCCTCATTCTCGCCTCCTTCACCCTGAGAAGCTGTGAGAAAACCCTAACTTCGTTCTTGAGTGTTGTGAGTGATTTTTTTATATGTTTGTGAAGGCTTGAAGAAGGAGAAGAAGAAAGGAGCAAAGAGAAGGAGTGTAGAGCAGAGATTCAAGGGAAAGCAAGAGCTCTTTAAGGTATTCTTCTTATTTCTTTCCCTTTTATGCTTAAAAGCCCTTTTTAGATCTAGTTGATGCCTTTCTCAAGCTTTGTGTTGATATGGAAGCCTTCTTATGCCGAGATATCTTTAGATATGTATATTTGGGAGTTGTAGAGCCCAGATCTATTGCCTTTTTGGAGCTATTTTGCATATTAGCCCTAGATCTACCCCTTTTATGCATCTTTTAGCCTTTATTCCCTTGTTCTTGTGTTTGTGCACGTAAAGTTGGAAACTTTACGTGGTAAACCAGCTTATTAGACTCAGATCTATCATTTGTATGTTTTGGATTCGAGCAGAAACGAGTGTAGAATAGTTGCATGGCGGTGACTCGGTGAGTCGAGTCGCGAGTCCCCGATTCCTTCCTTTTGAGCGGTGTCTGTCGTGTGGGTCCAGTGAGTAGTAGGGTGGACTCAGCGAGTTGAGGGTAGACTCAGCAATGGAGGGACTCGGGGAGTTGTTCATACAACTCGGCGAGTCCAAGGCAATATTCTTAAGTTCAAGAACAACTCGTCGAGTTGTTCATATGACTCAGCGAGTCGGATGAAGATTGTCTGAGTTCTTGGATCGAGAGGGTACTCGTCGAGTCGATGCCATACTCGACGAGTAGCAGCGAGTAGGGTTGAGGTGTGAGAGTAGAGACTCGGCGAGTCAGGTCAAATGAGAGTTGTCTGTGACCAAGGGTAAAAGAGTCATTTTACCCAAGTGCAATGTTTAGTATTTGATTGAGTGTGTTTATGGACTTGTAGCCAGGGAGATACCGGAGCAGCAGCAGTTAGATTCCAGAGTCATACACTCAACAGCCAGTTTACGAGGTGAGTTTCCTTCCAGTAGAAACGGGTCTAAGGCCACAATATCGGCCCGTTTAGTAGCAGTAGTTTCCGGACTTTGGTCCGATGCAGTTGTTAGTTTGTTTGATGCCTTCGTGGCTCAGACAGGATTTATGTGGTAAGTGTTATGGGCTACGACCTGACGTAGTATGCAGTATATGAGTTATGATCATGTGTGTTATGCTATTTGAAATATGTTTTTGCTATGCTATGCTATGCCCAGTCAGTTCTGGACTTCGGTCCGATGCAGTTAGTCCCGGACTTCGGTCCGATGCAGGGGACAAGGTCCCAGTCAGTTCCGGACTTCGGTCCGATGCAGTTAGTTCCGGACTTTGGTCCGATGCAGGGGACAAGGTCCCAGTCAGTTCCGGACTTCGGTCCGATGCAACTAGTTCCAGACTTCGGTCTGATGCAGTGGGCAAGGCCAGTATGTGCTTATTTATATATTGTATGGTATGTGGTAGCTTGGGGGAGCTCACTAAGCTTCGTGCTTACAGTTTCAGTTTTGGTTTCAGGTACTTCCGCAAGCAAAGGGAAGAGCTCGGGGTGATAGCATCGCGCACACCACAACTTTAGCTTTTATCCTGGGAATTGATTTAGTTTGTTTTGATTTGACATAGTATGATACAGTTTTCCGCACAGTGTTTTTATTATGTTTGGGATACATCACGTATGGTTTTATGATATGACACTCAGATTATGGTTTTGGTTATATTGAAAAACGAAATTTTTGGGTCGTATTTTTGGATCGTTTCAATACTTGAATATTTTTCTTGGTTGATTAGTGTGAATTACTTTTTTTTTTTCAAATTAAATTACTCAACTTTATCATTTTTCTTCCATTTTGACTATGCTTACTTTATACTAATTTTATAACCGTGCAATACTAGTGCTTTTCCGTGTTTCTCAAGGGTTCATGCAGGTACTTGCATGAATAGTTTATTGATCTACTATGTCGCTATGCCGAGTACATAGTTGACCAAGATTGTTGAAGAAACATATGGGATTACCGTGTTGGTTAACCCTTTAAAATGTTGTTATGTAGCTGTTTTGTACGGGCTAATCCCATATGCCATTACACCACAACACAATTTTTAGTTGGTCTTTCACTATTTTTGTGTGGTTGTATTTGATATGAAACCATAATTTTTAGAGTTTAAAAGTCTTGTCCTTTAAGGTTAGACCAAGGATGAGATAATTAGATATATGGTCATAAAGTCACTACATAGTGATAGTCCGTTAGTGCCCAAAGTTATCTTTGAAGTAGTAAAATGTAATCATTTCATGTAAAATTAAATTTAGGCAATTTCTATACGCACCCATTGTCGTGTATCATTTCCTCTTCATGTGAGTGTAATAATATTTGTATACCCTCCTCATATGACTATTTATGTGAGTGATGATACTTATAACACAATCTTTAAATTTATCTTGTTAGAATATTAATGAATGATCAGTTGACGACTAGAAGATACATTTAAATATATTCAACTTAAAGTATTAATGAATAGTAAAATATTTTAAATTTGACAAATTATTTTTTAACAATTTAAAATAGAATAAAATATGTTCATTTGCAAAGCAACAGAAAACATATTTATACATATTAGAACTTCTTGCACCACGACGCTCTCTGCATGCGCTAAACGTATGATTATTTGTTAACCCAAAATAGCAACACACTTTAATTTTGAACCCAAAAAACTATTATCTCTAATATCTATTAAAAAGAAACCTAAATTCTAAAATGAAGCAATAAGGTCCTTTGATTATCACAAAATATTTTTAGACCAAAATTACATAATTTTGACAATTATAGGTAGGAATGAGCAACGAAACTGGGTACCTGCTTTTAAAACTGGGTATCCGCTTTTGGAACCGGGTACCCGCTTTCGAAACCAGAACCGCCTTGGAACCATCGGTTCCAGAATTGGAACCGTCATAAGTGATTCCGGTTCTTATTTTCCCCGAACCGCTATATATATATATATATATATATATATATATATATATATATATATATATATATATATATATATATATATATATATATATATATATATATATATAGAGAGAGAGAGAGAGAGAGAGAGAGAATTAGGTTCTTTGGAAAATAGAAAACTAGGGCATCAAGTGAAGACCAATTAGCATTTGACACATGTAACTAATTAATTGAATTATAAATAATGGATTAAAAGGGTATCAAAGTAATTGATGGTTAGAGGCGGTAAACCCTAGAACATTATACTGGACGATTTAGGTAATGAAGCGGGATTCGTTATGATTTTTGGGGGGATCGGTTGTGTGTTACATGTGTAATAGTCGATTGAGGTCAATAGGCGGCAAACATCAGAAGATATACCCGCCCAATTTATGAACTGATAGAGAATTGAGCGGGATCAGTTATGATTTTTGGGGTGATTGGTTATTTCTCCTTAAATTCCTGATCACTACTTCGACTCGCTGCTTCCAGTCGGTGTTTCTCCCGGTGTCGCACACACTCACACAAGCATCAGGTAAATTTTGTT